AAAAAAAAAAAAAAAAAAAAAAAAAAAAAAAAAAACTTTGTCAGTATTGTTTATATATTTAGGGAATTGATGAAGACGAGATCGCGTATGCTTTTTTTAAAAATGTCGACTTTAGCTTAATTATTTATTTTTATTGTTATTTTTATTATTTTTTATTTTATCTATTTTAGTTGGTAAGAGAATATTTGTTTGATGGGTATTTTCTTGTCCAGCAGGTTAGATAATTAAAGAACTTGGGACTATATTTATTTGTTGTTCTATCCCATAATCGAGGAGTTTTTGATCGAGTCTAATAAATAAAAATTGAGATTTCATTCTCTCCTCTTCTCATTCGTACGCTACGCTACATCAGTTGGTATCAGCAGTCGGGACAACTCACAATGCCGTCGCGAAGAAACAAAGCTGGTAACAATCGGCGCGAAGACGCCATCGACCCTCTCGGTAGGCAAGTCGAGGGTTTCGAACGACAATTCGGCATCAGGTTGTGGATTTCTCTCCGGGGATCAATGACATTCAACTATCTCTTCGTGCCATTGTTCAAGACAAGCACACGAACCGCGACATGACCTGCGCGAGAGGCAATTGCATGGAACTCCATGGTGGGCGTGGTGGACGTGGCTTTGGCGGGGCGTCCACCAGCGTTCGCCGCAATTAGCGGCATTGAGGACGACAAGGACACTTTGTCGAAGGTGAACTCGTTCGACGATTCCCTCTTTCGCGAGGACAGACGTGGGGAAGAGGATTTAGACAACCTCCAATTTCGCTAGGCTCGTCGAAGGGACGACGGGTTTGGTGATTACCATGGTCGAGAGGCTCGACGAGGGAACGACGGGTTCGACGATCTTCATGGTCGCGAGGCTCGGCGCGGGAAAGACAAATTCGGTGACCACCGATGGGAGGCCACGTTTCGCGACGGCATACCTGAGCTCTCCAGCGGGTTGGACGAAGCTGAGCTCCTCGACTGCTTGGTCACTGACAAGTCGAATTTCGAGTACAATGATGTGTCGGACGATCAATGTGTTGCACTCGTTGCGACACGACTGCGTGGTGGCTGCAACTCAAAGGTGCACGACATCATCACGGCAAACCGAAGACGTGGTCTAAATTCCATAACATCTCGAACGTGAGTTCTTGCCATTCGATTATGTTCGTACTATTTATCAACAATTTCAAAATTTGAGGAAATGACAAAGGTCGGTGAATGAGTACAAAGCGGACTTTTATCACCTTCTTTTGAGGGCGGACGTCCATGAGACTATCGAGCATGCAGCAGCTCGTGTCACGATATATCGGCCGATGTGTGAATTGAGGTCCGAGCTCCCATCATACAACCCAATCTGAGGCATCTTAATTTTGTTGGGCAATGGACTATAAAGTATGTCATCATGTGACAACGGTGCCGAGTCAATTATTTGATCGTCGAGAAATAGCAATGGTGATGTTGACGTGTTGTTGTTGATCTTCTAGCTCGGATATTCTTTTTCTAAAAAGCGCAACTTTATTCGACTCACGCCTAGCGGATCGATCCCGCAAGATTTTTTTTTCGAGATCTCGTTCGGCCTCCTTGTACTCGAGACGGCTAAAGACCGACAGGTTTGGGGACTTTTCCTTATGCCTCGTCACAAACCGAATTTCACCGGTTTGTTCCGTCTGCGTAGGGTCCACAGTCTTTTCCTTTTGGATCTTTGTTACGTCCTCTGGAGGGATAACTATGGCCCTAGACTACAACTGGCTTTTGCCTTTATCTCCGACATGATTTGTGTCTTTTTATGCCGGTGTTTTGAGTACGCCAATGGGGGTGGGGGTGCATGTGACACCAATGACATGATTTGTGGCACGAGACTTGCCATCCCTTTTAGGAATTCGGGGCTCTGAAACATCGGCATGAAATCCACGGTTGGGGCCGCCGTACCCAATTGTGCAGTGGCTTGTGATTGAGATTCCAACTCCTGGCTCAAAGCAGAGACATCTCCCTTAGTTGTTTCTTATAAAAAGGAAAAAGAATTTTCAATGTGTGTTAACAAGTTCGAAAATTGATTCCAAACAAATTGTGGAGCCCTTCTTCTAGTGTCAAACTGTTGATATGTAAATGTGTATCAACGATGAATCAAGAATTATGCATGGATTGAGAAAACAACATCATGGGATAACAAGGGAGTTTCTTGTGAAAGTATGAAATTTGGAGTTGAGATAAGCGGCCTCTGAGAATTTCGAGGTCATGCTCTGGGCTTTAAATGCCTGAATTAGTTACAAACCATCAATGATCGTTACAATGAATCTAGAGAGGGAATTTCTAGAGGGTTGGGGAGATTTTTTCAACCACCCTCAATACATGAAGCTTAGGAATATTTATGGCTAAACATCCTCAATTATTGTTCATCCACCGTTCATCGGGTCACCTCGTACAGTAAACCAGAATGAAAGGCATTAAATGAGTTATGGTTGGTCTTAAGTGATGATCAACAACAATGTAATGTTGATTGACGGGCCTTTAATGAGGACATCCTCCTATGAGCCTACGAATCATAGTTCTGCTGAGTTGGTGACCACATTCTATCGGTCATCATTGGATTGCAACTGGTCTTATTTTATTATTTCCTGACTCTAAGTGAGCTTCGAGGTCGGACTGCAGTCTCGCCTTGAGGTTAGGTGTCTTCCTTCTTACCTCGAGCTCAGACTTCCATCGTCCTTTGAGCCCTGACTATCTCATTGTCTTTCTTGTTTTTTTGTTGTTTTTCTATTTCCAGGCTCAAACCCCCTACAGCTCCGGGGCTGACTTGGTCGTCAAATCTATGAGGACTGACCTAGAAGCTCTGCTTCGAGGATCATATTTGCTTGCTAAACTATCTCATTGAGGGTGTTAAGCTTTGGATTTATACTTTCCAACTCGGATGCCAACATGAGGTTAATTCGTTTAATGGATATATTTTTTTTTTTGGTTTTTTGAAACGAT